GACCCGTTGGGCAAAAGTACGTAACTTTTACATTTTTTTGCTCCTACATATGATAGAATCACAATGGAAACTAATAGTTTTTTCTTAATCACTTACGCAGGTCTTGGAAGGTCGTGGTCCCAGGTGCTCACAAAAGGTTGCCCAATGGCATCCTGGGTCTTCTCTGCAGGGAACACTTCCCAGGCTTGGTTTGCTATGCCGAAGCTCTAGAGCCAGCCTACACGTATGAGCACTACGTCGCCGCCCCTGATGCGGAGGACGAGACGGGCCGCACGTACGAAAGCGTGGCGGAGCGGGTTATGTGCGAGTTTTGGGTAAGTCTTCCTCCCACTACTTTGCTCAATACATTGCATTCGCTAGAGTTTCTTGAACCAGTGTATTGATACATCTTTTCTATATGCAGGACTTCTTCAAATGCGTCGAGGGCTACGAGGCGAGGGTGGCCAAGGCGTCGGCCAAATATTTTAGAGGTCGCATCTCAGACATGCATTACGAGGCGTGGATCCAGGCCATTATCGATTACTGTGACGTCTACAAGCATCGGAAGGTAAAGAAAGAAGATGCAAGATTAATGCATCTGACTAAAGAGCAGTACCTGAAGGTAAATATACAACATCAATATTGATTTCTTCTGAGATTGGGTAGGCTTGAATTGTTCTTATATCTGTCAATGTACTTGATGTCGTACAGGTGCCTCCTGGCTAGTGTGCTAATAAAACGCGGGCCTGACAGATGATGGTCGACAGGTGGGTGAGTGGCAATTGGGCGGATAACCACACCATCCTCCGAGAACGACGTTTGCTGATGCCAGGTGTATCACACCACCAGGGCAACCTTAACATCCACGAATTCGGGGCTAGATGGGTACGTGACTTGGTGTAGCTTCATTTATTCTTTCAGACGTTTATTCCTGCATGATTTATAATCGTCTTGTTGTTTTTCTCGCAGTCGGCTGCACATCAAAACCAGCCATGCAGAGAGCTCAAGTCATGGGTTCTAGCCCACAAGGGCAAGGCGACAGACAACATCAACTAGAACCCGGACGACCTAGCCGAGTCTTTCACCAACGAGGGCATCCCCGAGCGCATCAGTCAGTACACCGAGGCGGCAAGGGGAGTCCATGGGGCAGATTGGAATCCGCACACCATGGACATTGACGGCGACATCGTCATGAGGGTGGGAGGAGGCAAGAAGCATAGGCGGTACCTCATCGGCAACAGCACGCTCGACCCACACACCACTCCCACTCTCTCACAGGTCCGGACAAGCAGCATGAGCTGTAGCGTGCCCATACGCCCAAGGCAGGGCACTTCGACGCATCGTGTGGCAGCACTACAGGTTATTTCTGTTTTATTCGTCGTTCATTGGTTTTACATTCCTCGAAATTGCTTGTAACAATGCGGTGAAAAATTATAGGCCCAGGTGCATGCGCTCGAGGAGCATAAGGCTAGGGTGGAGGAAGAGCGACAGAGGGAGCGGGAGGCCGAGCGACAGAGGTGGGAGGCAAAGCGGGCGAGGTTTGACGCCTTGGCTCAGTACGTGGCAAGTCTTGGCGTCACGATGGGTCGTCCAGCGCCACTAGAGCTGTTCGCTCCTCCACTGCCTTACCCATACCCACCTTACTCATACGTGAGTTCAACTTCTCTAACAAAAGCTCTTTACTGTACATGTTGGCCATCATGCCGTTGATATGTGATGGGAGGCCTTCGTGCTATTGATATATATGTGTGCCGGCCATCGTGCCGTTGATATGTGGTGGGCGGCCATTGTGCCGTTGGTTTTCTTGCAAGTTTTGGAAACCCCACCGTGCAGGGGAGGTGCTGCCGAAATTTTGATATGTCTAGGCTTAGATTACAATTTTATACCTAATTCTGCAAATTTTGACTTGTCTACGCTTAGATTACAATTATATGCCTTAGTATTACTATAATTACTAATTTTTCTTCTCCTTTGTGCAGAATCAATCGGCGGGTTCGAATGATGTGCCTGAGCAACCGTCGTCGGGAGGGTCGTGGCACCAACCGTATCCACAACTTCTGCCGCATCAGCAGCCGTCGGGAGGGTCGGGGTACCAGCCGTATCCACACCTTCCGCCGCAGCAACAGCCGCCATCGGGAGGGTGGGAGCCTTGGGGGTGAGCCTGTTGTTCTTCATCATGTATTAGCACTTTGTGACATGAACTTGTGTGAGATGAACTTAGCACTTTGAGATGGACATGTGTCATAGGATTTGAGATGTTTAGATGGATTATAATGTGAGACATGTGATGTGGATGACATATTTGTGATATATGTGATGTGGATGATGTGTTATATTTGTGAAATATGTGTTGTTGAAGCTGGAAATATAAACAAAAATAAAAAATGCTCTCTGGACTCTTTGCCGAGAGCCTAGCTCTCGGCAAATCTGCCTCTTTGCCGAGAGCTTGGTGGTCGGCTCTCGGCAAACCTTTTTTTTTTAAAACCACCTCGGCCGCAAATCTTTTTTTTTTAACAATTCTTTGCCGACGGTCGCTCTCGGCAAATAAGATCTTTGCCGACGGTCGCTCTCGGTAAAGAAGCTGTCACACCGTTAGCGGTCGTTTGGCCGTTACTAGGGCGCGCCAGTTTGCCGAGAGCTAGAGTTTGCCGAGAGCCTTGCCATTACTCTCGGTAAATATTTTGCCGAGAGGGGCTCTCGGTAAAGAATCATTTGCCGGTAGATGTTTTGCCGACGGCTCTTTGCTGAGAGCTGCTCTCGGTAAATAGTTTGCCGAGCGTCAACTCGTCTTTGCCCTCTCGGCAAAGGCCGGGAGTCCGGTAGTGTGATATTGGATTGGGGGTCATGCAATTGAAGTAACTCACGTGAATGAAAGATTGTAAATAAAGGATACTTTTTCCCAAAAATAAATAAGTAAAGGATACTAAAACAAGAAGTATTTTGCAACATAATAGTAGGAATAGCATACTCAGGGCCTATTTAAGCATAATGTGACGATATGATCAACACACAGCAAGCCGGAAGATCTGAAGTGGAATGAGATCAGAGATCTGTTTGGCTTCAACACAGAACCAGTCGATTCTGAAAACCCAATGACGTGCCAGTCAATTTGACCTGCAATTGACAAGGAGAGAAAATCTTATCAGTAATTTAAGGTGAAACATGTCGGTGTTACACCAAACAGTTCCAAATATACGACAAGATAGCCGATTCAATGAGGCTATCGACTAAATAGTCGATATCCGGCGTATCCATGAAAAAAGTATAACATGCGAACAAATTGACTGTCTAATATAAATGAATCTACAAACAGTTTGAATCTAATCTATTATAATCAACAGTGAGGTTCGATCGGATCGATGCAGCTATGATAATGATAACAAACTAAAGTCAAAGAAATTATAAAACCATCTATATGTTGACAGATTTATGAAAACATACTATATGCGTGAGAGTATAGACAAATCGGCTAAAATAACCGATGCAGTCATAACAAACAAACAGAGTATATATCTTGATCATGAACAAGACCACTAATCGATAATTTCTAATCTAAAGTCTTACCAGTGAGGTTCGATCGGATGGATGCAGCTATGGTAGTGTCATTAGATTAGATCTCATTAACTAATGAGTTTATTCAAGATTGAAACATGTCTTTGAATGCATACTATGTTCGATTGGAATAGAAATAGAATAGCCGATCTAGCAGAATTAAGCCATCAATCATAAGATTTAAAGTGTGACCAAACTAGAAGACGATCAATTAAGATGATATGATACCGATCTATCTCTAATTCAATCAGGTGATTTTGTTATAATTAAGAAAACATTAATTATAACAAGATCGATAACCGGTGAATCAACCAAAAACAGCAAGAAAATCTTACTAATCTTAGCAGATTCAATAACTGGTGATATTGTATTAAACAACAAGTTATTTAACACAAGATCGATAGCTTTGATCTATCTTATGATTCGTAAGGGATCAATCAGCTGATACAGCCCTACAAACTATGATACAGATCGATAACTAACTTATATTATGGCTCATAAAAGATCAATCAGCTGATGCAGCTTTACAAGCACAAAACAAGTCGTGACGGTACTCACAAGCAAGCTAGAGGTCGGTCAGTCGATGCAGCCCTGTTTCCTGAAGAACTCGCCGAGATCTACAGTACTCCTACTCCTAATGCGATGGCGAAAGCCGAAAAGATTGTATTGATTATATGTTCGTCCCTTTTTACAATAACCAGGGTCTAATATTTATACCCAGAACCTAAACATGAATTCATACTCAAAACCGCTCGTTACAATTCTTGAGATAAAAGAAAACTTCTTAACTTAACAATAACTTAGACCCCAATTGTCCTTATTCGTAGAGTCCGACACGTCTCCTTAGCGCCACTCAAGTATAACCTATTTGACGCCGTCTGCTAACGTCATCCATAAAATAACCGATTCTGACATTACATCTAAATTAGATATACTGATTCTCATTCAATCGATTCCTTGATCACACAATCCTGAAAACTTTCGAGTTCCCGCGTTCTTCTTCTCAAATTTTGATATAAACAGAGAGTTAATCGTTAGCTAGCTAAAATTAATTAAAACTAACTCTAGTGCATCCGAAAAGACTAATCAGTGGCTAATTTTTTAGCAAAGTTTATTTGTTAGCTCACTAGACAACCACAACTAATTTTTAGTTCAACTAATTGGGAAAATGAGTCCAAGAAAGACTTTTCTCCCCTTGCCTGCGCGGTCCCACTGCCAGCAGGAACCCACAGCAAATGTGAGAGCGATTGGGGAAAGGGGGCTCTAGGCGTTGCGTAGCTAAACTTGGCGGACGACGCGTTCCTGTGCCAAGGCTGCGACACGTCGGTGCACTCCGCGAACCCGCTCGCGCGGCGGCACGAGCGGCTGCGCCTGCAGCCGGCGTCTCCGCTGCGGACGCCGCCTCGCACGGGGGCGGCGGCTAATAATAAGCGCGAGCGTCACGACGAGGTGGTGCCTGCGTGGTTCAGGCGCAAGGGGCGCACCCCGCGCGGCGGGCACGCCAACAGCGTCGGCGGGCAGGCGTTGTCGCGGCGCCTCGTGGTGCCGCATGCGGCGGCAGGCGGGGAATCGCCGCCCGACGATGGGCGGAACGGCGAGGGGGAGTTCGAGGCCGAGGAGGAGCAGCTTCTGTACCGCGTGCCCATATTTGACCCTGCCCTAGTCGAGTTCTGCTCGCCCCCGCCTCTTGAGGACGCGGCCGCTCTCGCGTCGTCCTGCAACGAAGACGGCGCCGTCGAGGACCCCGCGAAGCCGGATCCAGTGACACCTGCAGCGGCGCCGGTGGTCCAGTTCTTCCCCGACGGCGGAAATGCCAACTTCGAGCCCACCGACGCCGAGCTCAGGGAGTTCGCCGCGGACATGGAAGCCCTCCTCGGGCACGGCCTGGACGACGGCAACGAGGAGGGCTCGTCGTTCTATATGGAGACGCTGGGCCTCCTGGACCCAGTGGAAGTGGGCGACGACGCCACGCGAGTCAAGGTGGAGACCGACGGCGGCAGTAGTGCCTGCGAAGCCAGTGGCACGCTGGCCTGCGCCCTCGAGCTGCTGGACCCAGAGGCGTCTGACGAGATGATGCTGGACATCGACTTCAACTACGGCTCGCCTCTGGACACGACGACGACGGACGAGAAGGCCGCGAGCAGCGACACGGGGGCCGCCGACGCTCAGTTCTTGCAGACGAGCCTCTCGCTCACCCTCAACTACGAGGCCATCATCCAGAGCCGGGGGAGGTCGCCGTGGACCAGCGGAGGCGAGCGACCACACGTCAAGCTCGACGACAGCTGGCCCCACGACTACACGGTACGTTCAATTCGCGCGCCGCACAGCACGTGCGTAAAAACACTCACATCATCGAGAGGCGTACGTGACATTACGTGCATGCACAGGTTCACTCGGAGTGATTGTTAACGTCGAATTCGATTCTGGTTGTGAATACAGAACATGTGGGTTGTGGGAGGAGTGGTCGGCCACGGCGGCGAGGACCTGCTGGGCACGGCGAGGCTGGGGATGGACGGCGGGCGGGAGGCCCGAGTGTCGCGGTACCGGGAGAAGCGGAGGACGCGACTCTTCTCCAAGAAGATCCGGTACGAGGTGCGCAAGCTCAACGCCGAGAAGCGGCCACGGATGAAGGGCCGCTTCGTCAAGCGCGCCACCGACTGTGGCAGCCTCGCCATCGCTGGCCTCGCTTAATGCCGCCGGCATGCATGCTGCATGCTTGGTTGTGCCTGCGTGGCTGCATACTGGAGCTGCGAGACCGCGTGCTACTCGTCCGTCGTCATGAAATGATGACAAGAACAAACTACTCGTCGAAGCTGCTTTTTAGCTAATTCAACTCAAATCAAAAAGAAATTGCCTGTTTTCTTTTCACGGATCAGTTCGCCAATTTAATCACTTTAAGCTGGTGCCTTCGAGTGGCACCTGCTTGCCTGTGGCGATGGTCGAGTAATAATACTAGTGCGCTGTAGTGCTAGCTAAGTGAATTGTGATGCTTGGTTGGACAGTTCGGAGGTTTTTTTGCCCCTGTTTCAGAGGGTCTGTCATCTGGTCGCCTTTTTGTACATGAAGAATATTGGATCTTGTTTTTTTTGGATTCGCCAAACACATACTGTACCTCCAAATAAGAACATATATACAGGTAATATATGTGAATCATATTATTGATTGGATTTATATTGGGTATATTATCAATTCATTATTTGGTCCATGAAGGATATATATTTTTTTAATGGAAACGCTCCTTATAGGGTGTCTGCACGTCCAGACGGACCCCGCACTTGCCCCCATCGCTTTGCTCGCAGGACGGACCCCGTCCTTGGCCACACCGCACCGCTCGCGCCCCTGCCGCCGCCCGCGCCGTGCACAGCGAGTCCGACGTGCTAGGCGCTCGCTACCTCACTCCCAGACTTGCTCCTCCCGTCGCGGCCGCACTCCATCCGCCTGCTCCTGCCCCTGCCAAGGTCCGTGCCGCTGACAAGCTCCACACTAGCGACCTCCGTGCTACTCCGCAACTTCGAGCTCCATGCCAGCGTCGAGCTTCGCATCGTCGAGCCTCCATTCGTCCAATAGCAAGCAGATGCTACGCTGAAAGTGTATCTTGCAATAGTATGTTTCAAGTGTTTCATATGTTTTAAAGGTATATATACAATTGTTGTATATCGATGTTGCAAAAGTAGATCGGAATGCTGCACATGTTGTAATGGCTATACACGTATGTTTCAAGTGTATGTTCTAAATATTTCATGTTCCAGACGAATGTTGCAAGTGTTTTGTCTAGATGTTGCAAAAGTAGATCTGGATGTTGCAACATGAATGTTACAAGCATATGTTTCAAGTGTTTTATACATATGTTCGCAAGTGTTTTATCTAGATGTTGCATATGTTTGCATTGTGTTTCAAATGTTTTTCAAACATTTTCGCAAGTGTTTCCGAAGCTTGTTTAAAGTATTTCCTCTATTTTTTTTTTTGTATATTTGCAACTGTGTTGCATCTGTATATTTCAAAGGTAGATCGGGTGTTGCACATGGGATGCGCGTGGAAAGTGGCCGGCGACGTTGACGACGTCCGGGGCGGAGCGGGCCCACTGCAGGTGCGCTCCCTCGCGAGCCCGATGCGCTTAGATGCTCGCTCACTCCATGTGCTGACAGCGACCGGACGCTAGCGCCCAGATCGAACGTCCGTACGCTAGCAAGTAATTCAAAATTTTATTAGGTGACTCTGATGGAAGCCTAGCACACCCCCCCCCACACACACACACACCCCACACACAGGCTTTTGTTGCCCACCCAAGCACGCCGTCGGAAGTTCAAGTAGCTGCGGGGTTGTTTTTTTCTTTCTATAGGTCTTGTACGTAGGAACACGAGAAAATTCCTGCACTTTAAACGGGCCGATTTGCATCAAGAAACTACAGTTTTGCCGGCAGCCTGACGTAAGATTCTGATCACGATCTCCTTTTACAGATTTCACTGTACAATTATTTCATTTACAGTTTTAGCAGAGGCAGAATTAAGTGGGCGCTTTAGGTCACTGTAGTAAGTCATAGTACCGTACTAGCAAATGTTATGTGATAATGGCCGTCCTTAGCATTTTGGTGACGATACAAAATTCAAAATGAGACCCTATGTATAAGAACATTTATTAAAAAATATCTATTTTTTGTTAATCTATCAATTGTATAATTTCTTGATTACATCTTGCCAATAAATAAATAAAACTCTTAATTACTAAACTACTACTATATTTAGATGAAATGTGCCATCCATTTAGTATTCCTGGTTCCAAAATCTTTGGTTAGATCTATATAAGCCAGGTTTTTGTAATATTATAGCTAATGCTATTGCAGAAAACATAATCAATTTTTTATGTCATCATAGTACAGATATATATGACCTCAGCAATTTCGCTTTTGAAAAACTTCTCCGTACTAATGCCATGGTCACTTGAATAGTCAGGAAAATTATATATGCAATATTTGCATTAGAAAAACAGCCCGCCTTAGAAAAATCAATTCATGAGAGGTCCAATATTTTCGTTTGTAATACAAACTTGGAGTAACTTATTAACTCCTTTGCACAACTTGGAGAGAGGGAGGCATATGCATGCAGGGGCAGATCCAAAAGGGGGGCTGTCGGGGCTACAGCCCCCTAGTGACTCTGATTTCTTCATTAGACCACGGTTACTTAGCCTCAAATCATCATTAATCTCTAGCCCTAGCCCTAAATCTTTATTATTTAGCCCTCATTTATTCCCATCCTGCATCCGCCACTGTATGCATGCGCTTTTATTGAGGAGATCGAGGACAAGAAGGGTAAAGAGGGAGACCAATGTGTGCTTTGGATACATGAACATACCTAGGACCGTACCAGATCCTACTCCAAGCATCTAGTATTTGTGACTGAACATGCCTAAAAGGATTCATCATTCATGGTTTCATGTATTCATATGTTGCTAGTCCATCAGTACCTATACTGTTGGTCATGGCAGTTAGACTTGTTTTGGGACTTCCATTGGGTAACGATGAATACAGTTTGCCCATGCTGAGTCGGCACTACGGGCTGGTAGAATGCACTTCCACACAGCGCTGTTGCACTTATACCCAGACCCAAACCCAATCATCCAAACTCGATCCCCCTTCCGCATCAACTGCTTGGCCTCGCAATATGCCATTTCATACCATACCGAGCTGCTCGATGTGTTTCCAAATCGATGCAGTGTCATCCTCGACGGCTCAACCTGCTCATCCGATAGATTCAGGCTACGCTGCACTGCGTCGATCACTGCTCGCCCACCAGCATGTATGCAGAAATGCTCGACGGCCAAGCCGAAATTTGGAACATACTGCCTTGTATTTTTCTTCAAGAACACCTTTTGTGCGATGGAGGAGAGCAAAAACGATAGCTGCTCAGAGACTGGAAGCAGAAGAGGGGCACTTGTGCGGATGTTGGCCTTGAGTGCCTCACCAGCGACGGCCACAAGATCCTTGGACAAATTAACCCCTAGGTTCCCCTCGTCGTCTTCCTCATGGAAAACGCAGTGGTATGCGCTATCCTGGGCAGCAGTGGATTTCCGCACAGTGTGCAGAAGCTCAAACCGAGCATTGGCCCTTGAATTCGAGAGTAAAACCGCGGCGCCTCCCATGCGAAACAGCATGTTGGTCAGCTGCATCGATCTCTTCTTCCCTGCATAGTAGTTGCAAGTCACGATCTCCGTAGATACCACCAGCGCGTGTGCACCGTGGGGCATGAGTTGCAAGAGGTTCCTTGCGAGCCCAACGGCGATCAATCCGGCACTGCACCCCATCCCAGATAGTTGCATATTTTGTATGTCGCTACGCAGCTTGTATCTGTTTATGATCATGTCAGTCACGGATGGTATCATCGTCATGAGGCTGCAATTGACAATCAGTATGTCAATTTTACTAGGTTCCATTGATGCCTTGGAAAATAGGTCATCGACGACCGTGAAGATGACCTGCTCTGCCTCCATACGAGCTAAGCTAAAACTAGGAATGAGTGGGGTGCAATGATATGAAGAGGGGAGGCATGTCTCGTCACCAAGGCCAGAGCGTCTACAAATCTTGCCTAGGAAGGAAATGTTATCATCGTCAAGGAAATCTGATAAGCGAAAATTCTCAATCAAGGAGGCTGGGGCAATTCGGTACTTTGAGTTAGGGCCGAAGCAAGCATACTCAACAAGGTACACTCTGCGTGGATGTCGGGTAAGATACTTGACAGTTACAACGGTTATGAGTAAGAAAGCCAGGAGGTGACGGATGGGTGGTAGGTTGTTAGTGGACGAGGCGAGTAGCCTGTCTTGGCAAATCTGTGTGACCTCGAGGATCATGGCGACCATTGGTGGTAGCAAAAGATGATGATGGTGTATATTATATTGTTCACAAGAATTTGGTTGACATACTTGTTCTTGGCATGCTACCTTGCGCATATATATGTATCGTGTGTATAAGTTACAGCTAGCATCTGAGTTATATAGATGCCGATTTGTGAATGAAGTAGAGGACTGCTGGGGAAGTTGTTTTAAAGCTGCGTGCTATTGATAATAACTTGCCATGCAAAGAACATGCGCCCACTAATTTTCAGGCATGCAACCTTGCACTGTCGCACATAGGGAGTTGGGATAATGTGCGGATCTCTGAATTTTCAGGCAATAATAGTCAACTAGTGCAATTAAATCCATGTAGTACAATTAAAAGGACAGTTCACAAATTACAAAGCTACATGTTGCCTGGACATCAATAGAAAATTATAGACACTTAAAATATAGGATTAGTGTTGCCCATATGTATGGTGTGTTTAAGTCGGCATACAGTATGAGTCATATGGACGCTGATCTGTGAATAAAGTAGAGAACTGTTGAGGAGGGTGTTTTAAAGCTGCTATCAACAATAACTTGCCGTGCAAAGAACATGCGCCCTCTAATTTTCAAATCCTGCCTCCAATAAGTGTACACGAGTATGTGCATCCATAGTATATTGGAGCAAGTATACTAAAGGGGTTGTAAGTAGACTAAATACTAATGGAGGAGAAAGAGGAGGTAAGAGAAGGGAAGTGAGCTGTAAATTTACAGCCAGCTCAAACACAAAAACCAAAAAGCTATGTAAGAGGAGAGAGTAAGCCATATATTAATATTATGGTATGTTTTAGTAAGTAACTACTCCCCCAGTTCCAAATTATAAG